AACACACACACTCACACACAGACAGACACACTAACACTCACACACAGACACACAGACACACACACTCACACTCACACACAGACACACACACTAACACTCACACAGACACACGCACGCACACACACTCTCACTCACACAGACACACACACACACACACGCACACACACAAATTAAAGATTAATTTAAAGATAAGATATCTCATGTAGAGAAACTCACGTAATAAAAAGGGTTTAAAAACAATTTAAATTTGTAAGGTGTTCAATGTAATGTGTTTTGTTTAATTATATACCCCTGTCTTGTAATTCACATTTTTAAAATAATTATTAAATTATTTTATATTTTCGTTTTGTAACTGCTTCCTCATTTTTATTTTTTTTTACTAACTAAAACCAAACTTATTTAAAAAACGAACACTTGAGTTTTTATAAATCAGCGTGATAAAAGCGAACTATAATGACAGAAACCATCTCAAGGTTATCTGAAGCGTCACGTGCCATTAGATTACACGGAGAGGGCGGGGTTTATGAGCTGTTCTGCATCCATCAAAACCATTTGGCTTCACTTTTCAGGAGCACTGCGGCACACTTGAAGGTGTATAGCGCTTTCCAAAAGAGAAGCGGTGGCTTTTATTATAAGTGTGTCTACATCAGCAGGTTTGCCTAATGTAGTAGTCCTTATAAGCTCACAGTGTCTCGTGTAAATTAAAATGCAAATCCAAATGAACTCATGTCAGCTCCTGGGTTATCTGAGGCGTCACGTGCCATTAGATTACACGGAGAGGGCGGGGTTTATGAGCTGTTCTGCATCCATCAAAACCATTTGGCTTCACTTTTCAGGAGCACTGCGGCACACTTGGAGGTGTAAGCTTTCCAAAAGAGAAGCGGTGGCTTTTATTATAAGTGTGTCTACATCAGCAGGTTTGCCTAATGTAGTAGTCCTTATAAGCTCACAGTGTCTCGTGTAAATTAAAATGCAAATCCAAATGAACTCATGTCAGCTCCTGGGAGATGCTGTCGCATAGCAAGAGGAAAGCTGCTTTCGGTTTCAGTTTCAGGCTGGATGTGCTGGTCAGGGAGAGCTGACCAATCAGAGACGCTGCTCTTGGTGTTGCTGGGAA